CACAATAAAAGCCTGTCTATGTGCCCCAGGGCATGCAGGGAAATCCCTGGAGATTTCCAATATGGTGGACATCAGGTCAGAGATCAATCACGAGCTTGTCATGCGGCTTGTTAGTGATGTTGCCAACGGCAACCGTTTCTACTCCGACCTCAACGGTTTCCAGGTTTTTATTCCTTTTCATTTACACCCCCTGCCTGTGAATTAGTGTTTATTGATTGATTATTGAGTGGTTGTCACTGCAGATGCAGCAGAGGCGGACCCTGCCAAAGCTCCCCTTGCAGGCAAACTTTTACCCGATGAGCTCGGCGTCATTCCTTCAGGACTCGATGTCTCGTCTGTCGTTGCTGTCGGCGCAGAGTCAGGCCGTCGCTGCACTCAGACCAGGTGAGCCATGTCTACCTTGCCTTACCATACCTGTCATGTTATACTTGCTTGTTTTGCATCAGATATATTCAGGGTTTTGTTATTTGATTGATTTTGTCTTTTAATAACTTTTACTGGTCTTTTTACCTAACCCTTTTACTTAGGGGTGTGACAATATGCTTAGCTCATGAGAACGAGACAACATGATAGCACAACACTATTTTTAAGAAAACTTCGATGACAAAATATATAACTGTAAAAATAGTCTCTTATGCAACTGAAAGTGACAAAATGGAGAACAGTGCAGGTTAATTTTGAAATGTTTTAACTAATCGTCTTGTAACGCATGTCCCTTCAGTTCTACTTGCTGAGTGTGAATGATCACCTGCAGTAAAAGACGACAATGTGCAGCCACTGTAAAGCTTTAGCCGCAGACTCAGCCGATCGGCTTCTCTCTCGTAGAATTTCACATGAGGCTCTTCAGACCTTAGGACTGTGCATGAACTGTGCATGAGCTTCTAACTTCTAACTGAAGCTGTGTGTGACCTTCTTTGCTATTTTCACCCTCACTGTGCCGGACCGTGACATCATCCGGCAAAGGTGCCTCATCATCGACCAATCTCATACGAGGGATGATCAGGATGTGGACTCCCTCTCCACTTTAAGCCCCCGAATGAACAGTGGCTGATGAGTTCTCCTCTCCTTCCTCATGTCCACTATCATCTCCTTCGTCTTGTCCATGTTGAGGCTGAGATTATTGTTAGCTGAGCATTCACTGCTATTCACTGTCGAATATGGGCCACATGCTCATGAACAGCACGCCATGCATTTTCCTTAGTACTGGATGTTAAACTGTGTTTTTTATCCATCAGTGCTAACACACTGGTGGTAGAATTGGTGCTAAGGTAGAGGAGGTTACGTTAGCAGCATGGCTAACCAAACACAGTGGAAACTCATGGGCTGGAAACATGCATGAAGCCACTCATGTTGACTCATCACAACATGGCCGTATCATGCCCACAACACTCCCCCTGCAGCCTCTCGCCCCTCGACCAATGGAGCCCTGTGCGTTAAAACACAACGGGGAGTTTTGCCGGACTAACGTGAAGTCACACTCCGTCATACTAGCTGCTGCTCTGGCTCTGTTGTGTACTGATATCGTGAGACAGCTTTCGCCTCGATGAGAAATATCGTCACCATTTAGTGTCACGAGATCTCGTCACACCCCTTCTTTTAGCTTTTGTATTATGGTTTTTACCTTATATGATATGCGTGATTGTCTGATTCTGTTTTACTAGGTATAAATAAACATCGCTTCATTTTACATGTTGCCATATTGACGTTTTTCTGTCCGTTAATAATTGTGTTGTTCTATGTTCTCCTGATTATGCTGGGATCTTCCGTCCATTTTTTGGCACTTTATAAGTCCAGCATACTTTCAGCTATACAGGCCATTCAGGTGTCTACCTGTTCAGCTCTTCAAGGACATTCCTGCATGTATTCATAAACTTTCTTATAACGTTTATACTTTTTAATTTATTCAGCTTTTTTTTACAATACAAGTCAATGGGAGCTCAAAGTGCTGAGTCAATGACACAGTCTTGGAGTGCCATCTGGTGTTTCATAAAATGCAGTGCAATTGAGACATGACACTTCATAACTCCCCTCTCACTCTCTCTCACACACACCTCTACTTGTTTTACCTACTTTGTGGGGACCAATTGGAATATTTTCACATCTTAAGTTCAGCATACTTTCAGCTAGAAAAGCCATTCAGGTATCAAATTGTTCAGCTCTTCAAGGACATTCC